GTAATATGGATTATATTTAATATCATAAATATTTAGGAGATAAGTTGTCCCACTGAATCAAGTTGAAGGATAAAGAGGCAAAGCGTTGGTACTAGCAGTGATCTTTAGCTTGACTCCTCATATCCAGAACTACAGGATGGGCTGACACCAAAGCATCAGCTATTAAAAGTAACAGTACATGGGATGTTGTTCTCTGTGTGGCCATATCATTGAGTAGTAGGATGAGGTCAGATGGATCCAACTGCCAACTGAAGTTGGACCTAGATCTAAGCTGACTTTCATTTTACCAAAGAAATCTCCACTTGGAGACAATTAAAAAATTTTGTCTTCATATGATGGACAACTGCACTGCCTGCAGTGGCAATTCAGCATAAATGCATTACCCATCTAAAGCACCTGTATTTAATATAAGAAACATATATCAAGGGTAAAAACTTTTCTTCAAGAAAAGTAGGATACCAAGAAGAGAATTCAAATACTGTTCTCTAATACACTCCAGTTTTCTTCAGACATGCTGGATGCACCTGCAAAGAACAAAAGCAGAGCTGAACTCAGTAACTACTCAGTGATTAAACATGTGATTATTTTAATAAGGGGTAATGCCAATGTATAGAGTTCTTCTAGGTTGTGCTGGCTAGAAACTTTCTAATGGAATATTTTTCTGTATTTAAGTTCTGATTGATCAGAAAATCCCTCCCAATACTTGCATCAAAGCATTACTAAGTCATAAAGAATGAAATTCATATCCTGTCTTAGTTTCAGGAAAAGAGTTTCAAATTTTCATTTCAAAATGTATTTTCTTAGTTCCAGAAACATCTAAAGCACTACAGATCTTGTGTTGCTTGTGGTGCACTTTCAGGCAGAGCTCCCTTTAGTATGCAGAGGCCTGGACTCTCTTGGGTGGTCTTAGAGGATCCCTTGTGGTCTTGCCTTTCTGTATTCCAGTAGGGAAATAAAATACAAAATATAGAAACCAGTTAAAATAAAACCACATCTTAATTTGTAGTGAAAATAAATATTTTGAGGAACACCATTTTTGCCCCAAATGCTTTATAACATAAAATTTGATCATTCAGTACTTTATTCTCCTTGAAGCAAAACTGATGACTGTAATAATGGACTTTTCCCCAAAGCACAATTTCTCTTTCCTGCATAGCTCTTACCTGATGTCCTCACAAAATCTCTGGGGTAGGGTATGTATGGCTGAGGAGTGGTTGACTATGGGAACCACCCCTTCTTCACCAAATTCCAGCTATCCTAATAAAAAAAGAGTTGAACAGAGGATATATTTGACCTCCCTGTCTAACTTTAGGTCAATAACTAAAGAAAAGCTATAGGAAAGTAACAAGAAGAAGCAAATTCACTTACCATGTGATTGCCCAATGTGCGCCCGCCCAGCTGACCATGCATAAACTAGATTCCACTTCTCCTCCCCTAAGGTCCCCATGTGGTTTTCCAGATTCCAAGATACCAGAATCACCATGAGAAACATTTATGCATAAGTGCACACAACATACAAAATGAGGTGATATTTCTTCCCCATAACATTGTTCTCTTCTTCGATGCTCTGTTCAGCTCCTAATTCATTTGGGATTACGGAATGGAATATAGTGAAATTGTGTGATGCTCTGGTTTACTTCATCACCCTCTAGCACATCCCTAGGAGCCAGGGGCATGTGTTGGTTTTCTGCACCTTTGTGTCAAAGCTGTATTTGGGAAAATCAGAACTAAAAGCACTAGGAGACCTTCTGCCTTCCCCCAGTCCCTGAAGAGTACAGTAACATATAAGACAGTGCATACTTTATTTGCAGAGGAGGATCATCTTGAACTTGCACCCCCAGACACAGGACTAGCATACTGCAATTAGAAAAAAGAAAAAAACCAAACCCAGATGTATTGTTGAAGAACATATATATCCATAGAGCTGGTCCCCAGCTTGTCCTCTGTGAAAATAAAGGAAGCTTGTCTGAATGGACCAGAACTGTAATACTCTGATGATACAGCTCTGAAAATATCCTTGGAGTTCAGGGCTAGTCCAGACCAGTCCAGAGGTAGTTTTCTGTTCAGTACAGAGAGAGGGTGGCTTAGATTCAAGAAGCAATGTGAGATACATTTGAGACTTCTGCAATATTTTAATACTACCAACTCATTCAGAGAGAAAACCTAGGTTTGATGAGTAAGGCATCTAGGGCTGCCTGATTCTTATCCATCATTATCCATCATTGAACATCTTGTACAGCCTGGTCATGCGGTGTTGCAGTCAATGTATTTGCTGCTTCAGGAATGCAGACAAGCCAATTCTTAGCTTGAAGCAAGAAAGGGTTCTAGGTGAAATCTCTTCTCTGAAATACCAATGAACTTCAAAATGTACTAAGGTTACCTTGTGTTTGTATCACCACCTTTTCCAATGTTACTGCTGTCTTGAATGAAGCCCCCATGGCAGACAAGAGAGTAGAGAGGAAGAGATCTGAATGTGTTTGAAGAAAGCTCTCCTCCCCAGTGAACTTTACTGTAGCAAAAAGAAAAGACATTTAAGAGTGAACTATTCAAGTCTCCTACCTATAAGGAAGATTGCCTGTATGGGCTGGAGAGTCCAGCTGTCCAGGTAAGTGGTTAGCTGATTTATTTCAAAGACAGCAGGCTATGATATATTCTGTCATTTAGGAGGAGCTGTGTGAGTTTTACCATTCCAAGACACTGGAAGTCCAGGAAGTGATGGAGTCTTTGGCTTATTTATGAAGAGCAAAACATCTTGAGCATGTGCACACCAAACATTCAGTTGCAGGCAAGCAAGCCCTATGAAAGGTACAAAATGAAGCAGTACAGCTCATGAAGTTTCTCCATGTTCACAGCACAGGTCCTAACCAGATCATCAGTCTCCCAGGCATTTCTGCTGGAGGACCTGCTAGGACGTGCCATGGCTCCCTTGCTGCCCAAGCACAGTTAGTTGTCTCATATCTTTCATGTGCATGGAAGCAGGACACAACTGGGATCAGATCTCCACTCTGAGGTTCTCCTGCCTGTAAGGATGGCTTTGCTCTAGGATGATTTTCTGCATAGGCAGGTAGAGAGCTTTTTCTAGCCAAGTTCTCACTTGGTGACTTGATGCCACCTATTAGCCACAGCAACATTTCTGTTGCTTTCCACATAAGTAGACTCTGTTACAATTTCTCTCAGGAATTTATGCAGTGGTGAGAATTGCTAAGCAGAGCCTGAATATTGAGTGTTCTGCTAGCTCAGAATTTGGCTGGCTAGGAAAGAAGGTGTACAGGGTTGAAAAGATGAATGATAGTACCTTCTTCTTCAGGCGAGCTCCTGTCCCTCCTATTCCCACACTGCAGCCTTTAAAAAGAGTATGCTGAATTTCCAAAGAAAATGGTTTGAAGCTACCCCTAGTTTAGGATTTTAGTTGTTCTTTTTACATTTTTATATTTGCCTTCATCGAGGTCCTGAAATGTTTCCCTTAGGCTGTACAATTTAATCAAGGTTGTCCTTTTTTTGTGTCTTGTTTGCATTCTTTTCATTATCTCCTTCAGTCTTTATGCATGCATTACTGTGTCCACAAACAAAAGGGATGGTGCTTATCAGCCAGGTCTGAAAGAATGGCTGAATGGCCAGGAAAAAAGAGGCCAAGCCAGGATAGCAGGAATGAGTGTTACTCATAGCTCCGGGATGTGTCTGAAGCCAGAGGGATAAAAAAATGCAATATAAGGAATTGTGGAAGCTCCAGGGAAAAGGAGAGAGGAAACAAAGAAGAGAGACAACTCCCTAGTGTCAGATTTACCATATAGTCACATATATCACATACAGATTTATCATATAGTCACATATGATTTTTTAGATACCATGTGTTATATGTGTGATGTCATATATATTACCAATGGCCACACAACCTGGTTTAAACAACTCAGTAACAGATAGGGCATTTTCCTCTCAGGCAGTGTTTAAGAAGGAGTTTGACTTTATGTTTAGGAGTAGGAGGGTGTGAACATGAAACAGTTCTGAGGAGAGAGTCATTTGGTTTGCCCATATCCCTAATATTGCTAGGATGAGAAACCACCACACGCTGCCCCTGAGAGCAACCAGGCTGATGAAGCAGAGAGCTGATCAGCTGGTGTGGCTGCACTGGCCAAAAAGTAACTGAAGCCCAAAGGGATCTACAAGAACCCACTGCAAACCTGCCCATGTGTAGCTTTCTATCTGCCAAGAGCCATCAGCTGGGAAATACTTCCTGTTACAGCATTGCTAGTTAGGTTATAAACATCGACAAACCCACCCAGATTCAGAGAACACAATTGTATTCTGTGCCTATGGATCATGAAGCTCAGATTTAAGTTTGTTAAACTAGCCTTAAATGCTATAGTGGATTGCCAAAACCACAATAGGTTTTGGCTGGTGTCCCAGATTCTCAGTAACCAGCAAAAATACCCAGTCACTTCAGGTTTAGTTAAAACTCATTTTAATAAGAGTACTTTCCCCCTTCAGAGTCACTGGGCAGTATATGCATGCTTCTTACCCAGTTGTCTGCACAACTCAAGTGGTTGCCTTTGAGATGCTAGGATGTGCCACTGAAATTCCTGTAGATCTGCCTGTGTAGGGGTTATCTGGGAGACTGATGTGAGATATCTATCTTAACATTCTTCCAGCCAAACCAGGTCAATTTAAGTGAATGACAAAAACACACAGGTCCATTTCAGATAAAAATGTTACCAACTACCTCTTCTTTTCTTGTCTTTGTTTTTTAAACACTACTTTTTCCATGGTATTTGAAGACCTGGATTTATCCCGGAGCATCTGGCAAACAAAAGGATGATCTGAAGAAAAACAACCATGTACTTCTACTACTCATATGGTGCTCTGCTCCATGGGGCAGGGATTCTGTCTTTAGTACTTACCAGGACAGCATCCTGCATTATGACAACAGCTCAAAGGTGTTACAGCCATACAAATACTGAATGTTGTATTTCTTCTAGTCTAACATAAGAACAACCACCAACATATTAAGTGCTTTACTAAATCTCTTTATTGATTTCTGGTGCATATAAAAAATAATAAAAAATAGTAATTACAGACAAATGCATCTCAACCCTAAGGTGGCTCAGTTCCAGTGCAGGACTGATCTAACTGAAGATACAGGATTTGGAAAAAAAAAAAACAAAACAAAACAAATACAGAATTAATTACTGCCCGAAGACAGAAACAACATATTGTATTTCTGTGAGAAGCTCTTCTGAACAAGTAGAACAAAATAATTTTGTTCAAGCCGGTGGGGGGATGAGAATGAGACTTCTCTACTAAACGAATACAGTTTCTTGCTCTTTCAACACCCCTTTCATGCAAATCCCACTAAAAGCTGTTGGGAGAAGAAAAATCACATCCAAACCTAGGCTTTGTAAAAAAGTTCAGTGCAATCTTTCACATTCCCTGTTTTATCTATGAATTTTTGCACTTGCACATACCTAATCTAAAAGCTTATTTATATTGCAGATTGCTGCAAAATCAAGTCAGGTGTGAAATAAAAGTGATGTCTCAAACTGGTCCGCAGGGTCAGTTGTGTTGTCTAGACAAGATCCAAATTCAGCTTTCAAAGCAGCAGCTTGAGCTCATTCCTTGGTGCATGCACCATTATAATTGGATGGTTGCTCATGTTACAGGATTAAGCAAATTCCAAATAATAATATATGTTTTGTCCATATATGGAGAGATTAGAGGTTTAATGGAGACCCTGAAAGACGGAACTGAAGAGTGATCTGACTGATGTCATGTCTTCTTTCATAAAGGTCTCTTCAGAGAAAATAATGTAAAAATAAACAAGCATTATGTCTTGTTTTGTTGAGGAAACAGAGCCTTCCTCTGCCGAGTTATCTGTAAGTAAGAGAAACAAAAGCCAACAGACGTAGAGTATCTCACTGAAGTTCAATCTGCTGTGAGTGTCCTGCCAGTGAAGAGAGGGCACTCATTTGCCATGAGGACCATGGTAAGACATGCCATGCCTTGGGATGGAGGCATGATCATGCAGACATACGACTTGTGAGATGCTCAGTGACAGGGGCACTGGTCCTGGCATTGGATGGGGCATGGTGTCTTCAGCACGGTCAGTGATGGCTTCCAGAGAGAGTGGCCTGGAGGATTAATTAAACATGCTTTGTATCTCTACAGGAAGCACTAGGTGTGGATGGGAAGGTTTTCTCTGAAGGGCTGTTCACTAACATACCTAATCCAAATCAGACAACTGTTCTCTTGGTTTCCTTCAAATCCCAGACTGAACAACACAGGTGGCTTGTCTCCCCTCCCTTCACCAGGTTACTGTCAATCCTGGTTGTCAACCCTAGTGGTTATGGAAATCACCTCCAGCTGCACCCAGCCCTGTGCTTGTTTCTTGTCATGGCAGACCTGAGGCATTATTTCACTCCACAGTTGCAAGACACCTATGATTAAGTGATTAAATTAAAATCAGCAGAAACAATACCTAGAGTTCTGCTGAAGCTGCTCCATTAATTGCAGCATACATCAGCAGCTAGATGTTATCTAGTGTCACTGTGAATGGCTGGCTGGTTGAATTTGTGATGGTGACCTTAGCATTTGGCTTGGGACGCTTCCTTGCATCTTCTCTCATAGATGCAACTGTATTGTATGAAAACATAAATATAAAAATGGCTTACTCTGTGCATCAGGAGGATGGCAACATCTGTCTCAGAGGTTGTGACATTTCACTGCCAAGAGGATGACAGTGATGAGCAGAATCACTGCAGTGAAGTATAGGGCGACAGCAATGTAACACCAGTGTGAGTTCTCCAAACAGGTCACTGCCAAAGGAATAAGGGAGAGGGGTCTCACCACAGGCAGAAGCAAGTCAGCTGTTGTTCCGAGCTATGGCAGTATGCAAAATCATTGTAGCAGGAATGTGTTGCACTGCATGCTATAGATCTATCACCTGTTTGAAGAGCAAGTTCATGAGGATATTCTCAGTGTGCTGCAAATGCAGCTGAAAACTTTTTGAAGTTTTTTCAGCTAAATGTACCTGTAGAAGCTAAATCTTGCTTTGGAAATTCTTTTCTTAACCAAAAACCAGATGCCTGAAAACTGGAAAGCAGTGGGTCCCAGCATTTTAGATATTAAGTAAAAAAAAAAAAAAAAAAAAATCCCGTCACTTTATATATTTATATATGTATATAGGTTTACATGTATATAAACGTGTATATATGTATGTTTATATATAAAATCACATTTTCAGGGTCTGAAGAACCCTCTTCCGGGCCAGTCCTGATTTTTTCATACTTGTTGAGAAGATGCTTAGAAATGTGAGCTCTCACCTTCTGTTGCAGTGGACAGCTTTGCCAACACTGCTGTATGAACACTTTGCCATTCAGTTTGCCTGCAAGCCCTGCACAGCCAGTGCTTCTCGCTCTGGAATATACCCTGCCTTTCCCTTGGAGAGTAGCTTGCAAGGGTCATGCTACTATGGGCTATTTTTCTGAGGTTACACAACTGAAGACCCCCAAGGAAATCCTGAAGTTCACACGCAGGCTTTAACAAAAGGTTTTATGGGTAATTTGAAATTCTAGAGACTCTTTCCCCAGATGATTACCCTTTTTAAGCATAACAAAGCAGTACATGTTTATTTAGTCAAATTCCTGCCTCCATCATTTTCTGCTCCAACTGTAATCCTGCCCAGGACCATTGTGTTCTTTTGATCCCCATTCCTTAACACTTTCTAGGCTGATCCATATGGTAAAAATCCCCAACAATCTAGAATTAGATCGAACACCTGACTTCTATGATTTTAAAGGTATTTCAGTGAAGAATGGGAAGGGACAAGGCTCACCGATCGCATTTATCCATATACATATCATATGGCTTGTAAAATTCCTTGAACAAAATTCTGATCACCTGGACATATAGGCAGTGTAGGCAGAATTAAAGAAAGGAAGGAAGGAAGGGAGAACTGGGATATAAAAAGGCAGCCAACAAACAGGTGGGCTGATAGTGATATATCAAAAACAGCATTACAGACAACACTTTTCATGCTGCAGTCCAGTCCTGGTTTCACTGGCATAAAACCAGAGGGCATTTAAATGAAAGCAAGAAACTGGTTTTGCCTTTGTAACAGCAGGACTGAGATCTCCACTTGGCCCACTCTCTCATCTGCCTGACTGCTACTTTTAATCAGAAAGACGATCGGAAGCTTTCAGTTTCTTTTTCCTTGTGGTAAGGCCAAATTAAGCCACAAATGGAAACATTTGTTCTCACTAGTGTTTTCTGCTAACATTTAATCTATAAATATCTTAATTGTTCCTATGAATTGCACAGATTTTCTTTCCTTTTCTTCTTTTTTTTCATGAGTTAAAACTCATACCCAATATATTCTTTCACTTTGAAGAATCAGATTTACTTTCAGGATTGGTTACACAGTTTGAGAAAACAGTTTAAGGCATCTTAAGACTTTTACTTAAGAAAAGGTAGGTGCAATTTATCTTGTCAAATAACTTTTCAAAACCTAATTTTTGCTTTCTAGCTATCACTTTCCGAAAGTAACTAATTTTCTGTGCTTTAAATACTCTTTCTGACCCTTTCATTCACCCTAATGTATTTGGAAATGAAAAACAATAGACAGAAATTGTTGCTAAAAAGAGCAGAAGAGTTTGCAAGTGCCTTTACTGCAAAATGCATTTTAACCACATGTTCTGAGCATCCCTCAAGAATGGGAAGCAGGGAAAAATGGATCAAAATGACCTGCAGCAAAGACAGCAGGTGATACTGTCCCATACCTGGAAAAGTGTGCTGCTGGCCGGGTGGAGAGTTGCTATGTTTTATGTGGGTCTAACTCACTAGAGGTATGTAATGGCAGTTTTTCCTGCTACCAGGTCCTGGACCTCCAGTGGACTACACTGCCTGCATGATGCATGTTCCTTTTCTTCTGGGATCCTTCTAGGATGAGCTATCTGGTCCCTTCTTAGAAGAAAGCAAGTCATATTGCCGAGAACCGTTCCTTTCCCACAGTTTTTACTCCTAGATTTTACTCCCTCTTTTACACCCAGAACTGATGTCCAGCAACAGCCCCAGTGGACGTTCCCATGATCTACATGAGACCCCTTATTATGCTCCCAGCAACATATTGCAATGTTGTCTGTGCTGTGCTTTTAAAAAACCCACACACTTTGGTGAGGTACAACACAGCCTTTTAAATACAGGCATTTCTGAAACAGAATGCATGGACAGACAGGTCTCACGGAGCCCAAAGGAGGTAAAGTGGCCAGGGGCTGTTTTGGTCCAGCATGGCTTGCATTGAGGCCTGTGGAGGGAAATCTGTCTGCACGAACAGGCCCTGGGGCCACTCTTTGCTCCCAGATGCTGTCTGTATGAGTAGCACAGAAATAAGCCCAAGGTTCACTTGACTTGAGTCCCAGAGGAAAGGGACACCAACCCTGTGGATCCTCATGGCCTTAGCTGGGGCTGAGGCACAGAAAGTTCAGCCTAATGAAAACCTGGGGGGCTGCGACTCCACTTGCTGACACTGAACACACTGTCACCAGTAGCCTTCAGGCACTTATTGGGAAAACCAGCAGCTGGAAAAGGTTTTGAAGGTCTTTTAATTTGCTTAGATCACACCAGCATCTCTTTGGGCACCTAGCCCTGAGAAACTCCTCCACTAGATGTAATTATAATGGCATACAAAAAGCATAAAGCATACTGAGAAAATGTGAAGTGTCCTGCAGTACTGCAGTACCTGCATGTGTAGTCTTGGGTGTGCTGTCAGGTCTGTGCCATTTCACATTCACCTCCGCGTATGTGGTTGGATCACCTGTAAAGACAAAAAGTGCCACAATAGATAACCTGCCCAAAGTCAGCCTTTGCCATTCTCATTGCATCCAGTACCCTACGGCATCAGTCCTTCTCTGAGACAGTGGGAAGACCAAGCATACACAAGAGAGGTTGTGGTTTTTTGGTTTGTTTTTTTCTTTTCTAGGTAATATTTGTGTGTCATTGAATGAATGTGACAAAAAGAAGTTAATGCAAATAAGTGGAAAACATGGAAAAGTTTATGCAAATAAGTGTCCTGCTGTGCAGTTTTCCAAATAAATAACAAAAGTTATTGTTAAATTTTAGAAAATTAAAAACCCCTTTAAGTGACTGTAGGTTATCACACACTAAGCTATTATTAGTTCAGTTTCTTTCTTAGTATTCCATATCTTAGACATGCATGTATACGTTCAGTCAATCTGTAAACAGAAGTCAATCAATGGCAACTTTTTTGGCTAAATTAGTTTTTTCTGTTTACTTCTCAATAAACTTTTTCTTCCAAGTGAATTCAGATCTTGCATATGGGCATGAAGCACACCAGTTTTTTACTGTGTCTTGTTTTATAAAAAGGAGCACAATTCCCATTGGAGCAAAATTATACATGTGGGTAGAGCAGAGACAAGCTGCTTTTCAATCACTTATGAATTAAATAGAATTTTTAACAATTCACAGTAAACCACCAAATGTAAAACATTATGCAAAATATAAACATACTGTTTCCATTTCATCCACAGATTTTTTGTTCCTCAAGTTCATTCTTCCATGTATTTAAATGAGGTTTTAATTAATCATTGGTAAGCACTACTGCAGACAGAGCACAGATTTTCAGTACACACCATGAATTCAGCTTTCTCCTCAAAAAGAGGGGGGCTTGTTTGTAGTCGATTTTCCGCCAGAACTTCCTCCCCCCCCCACAGTCGTCGTGTTCCCCCCCCCCCCCCCCCCCCCCCCCCCGGCTCCCATTGCTACTCACAGAGTCACAGAACACAGAAACTTGTCCAGAGAAGACTTAACAATAGACTTATCTGAATCTTTATTGCTTTGCTTAATTCATGACCATTCTCATTTGTCAGCAGAGGAGGTCCTCTCCTCTGTCAGTGCCCATTGTCGTGGTTTAAACCCAGTCAGGTAACTCATTCACTCACTCCCCGCCCCTACTCCCGGAGGGATGGAGAGGAGAATCGAAAAGAATGCAACTCCCACAGGCTGAGATAAGAACAGTTTAGTAACTAAGGTATAACAGAGATCACTACTGCTGCTACCAACAACAACAATGATAAAGGAAATAACAAGGGAAGAGAATACATCACCTCACCACCAGCCAACCGATAACTCGCCCCCCCCAGCCCGACCAAGCACCGACCGATACCTCCTCCAACCCTGCAGTCCCCCAGCCCTTCCGGCTAACTCCCAGTTACATCCTGGGCATGACGTGCTGTGGTATAGAATACCTCTTTGGTCAGTTTGGGTCAGGTGTTCTGTCTGCTTCCTCCCGGCTTCCCCTCCTCCCTGGCAGAGCATGAGGCTCACAAAGTCCTTGGCCAAACCAAAACATCCTTGTTATCAGCTCTGTTCCGGAGCTGAAAGTCAAAACACTGCACTGCACAAGCTACCAAGAAGGAGAAACATGCCTGCTACTGCTGAACCCAGAACATTATCCACCCCTTATTCCATACCATTCACATCATGCTCAGATCCCACATTTTCAATATACCATCACTCTTATTTTAGTGCATGGACCAGTCCCTATAAAGTTGCTAAATCCATCTGGTCCATGATGTCAGGCTCCATCTCTTGTAACAGTCTTTCAGAGCAGGAGAGACTGTCTGCAGTGTTCACACTCGTGAACAACCTGGGCAATAGCGTCCATTGCTAAGTCCACCCCTTGATCATGAGTCCATCTCTGTGTTGCATCTCTGCTCTGATGGCCCGAAGTGCCATGGGCCCACCAGGCTCAAAATAATTCACTGTCCCCTTTCTGCAGCTTGTTGCTGGGGACTCCATACATCTGCCCTCCATCTCCGACGCTTCCAAAGCACTGGAGGGGCCCAGTGGACTAGATACTTGCCCATACTGTCCCACACACCCTGCCACTCATGACTTTCCAGCCTTAGGGAAAATCTCCTGGTCCCCCTATATTGTCGTGAACCCCAGACAAGACCCAAACCTGACTCTGCTTAACTTTTGAGATCAGACAAAATGGTTGTGGGTAGAACACAGTCTGTGTGTGTGCCAACATGCTGATCCCCACCACAATCAGCAGGCAGGTCCCAAGGGTACCCAAAGGCCATTCACAACCTTCAGAACTCTCAGTTGATGCTGCTGTGCTTGTCACTGGGGCCGGTGCAGCTGCTGTGCTTGCCGGCTCTCCCACCGCCAGCTTCTCTTTTCCTGAGTCCAGCTCTTCCTCCTCTGCCTTGCTGGGAAATGCTGCCTGGTCTCCTGCATCCTCCTGGGGCTCGGCGGGCGGCTTCCGGGGGATGCTCTCGGCCGTCGCGGGGCTGGGCTCGGCCGTCGCGGGGCTGGGCTCGGCAGTCGCGGGGCTGGGTTCAGCCGCGGGGCTCGGCTCCTCCGCGGGGCTCGGCTCCTCCGCCGCCTCCTCCCTGTGCTCGGCAGCCGCCTCCTTCCGCTCCTCGACCGCCCCAGCCTCCTCCACCGGCAGCCGTCCCCTCGCGGCCTCCGGCCCCGCTCCCGCCGCCGCTTGGTCCCCGGGGCCGCTCTCCTGAGCCGCTTCAGCAGCCGCCGACTCCCGGGGCCGCTCCCCCTCGGCTCCCCGCAGCCTCACGAAGATGGAGAGTAGGGTGAGGGCCAGGACGGTGAAGAGCAGCCGGACGGCCAGGTACAAGTCCACGGCCACGTCCGTCCCGCCCTGCTGCTGGAGCCCGCCCGTATTACAAGCCATTGCCATGAAGCACAGCGAGACAAGAACCTTAGCCCAAGCCCCACACTTGATAAACACCAACACAGCAAATACCGGCTCTAAGTAAGTTACAACGGTCTGAAGCTGTGAGATCAACAAGAACAACTCTGAGAGCCAATAAATCAGCATTGTGACGAGTGACTATTAATCCGGTCAGATCTGTCGTTATCTCAACCCCTCGAGCCCCATGTTGGGCGCCAAAAAGAACTGTCATGGTTTAAACCCAGTCAGTCAGCTCGTTCACTCACTCCCCCCCTTCTTTCCCTCCCCCTACTCCTGGATGGATGGAGAGGAGAATCGAAAAGAATGCAACTCCCACAGGCTGAGATAAGAACAGTTTAGTAACTAAGGTATAACACAAATCACTACTGCTACCACCAATAATAACAATGGTAAAGGAAATAACAAAGGAAGAGAATACATCACCTCATCACCAGCCAACCAATAACTCGCCCCCCCCCAGCCCAACCAAGCACCGACCCATACCTCCTCCAACCCTGCAGTCTCCCAGCCCTTCCGGCTAACTCCCAGTTACATCCTGGGCATGACGTGCTGTGGTATGGAATACCTCTTTGGATAGCTTGGGTCAGGTAGCAGAGGCCATACCTCTGCTACTGCTGAACCCAGGACACCTGGACACATGCTTTCCATAACTAAGAGCCACGTGCAAAGGAAACTTTCCATCTTTGATGCAGAGTTGGCACCACCACTCAAATTGCAGCAGCCTTCATTCTCCACTGAGTTGAGACACCCATTCCCTTGGGCTTGGAAACCCACGTTTCACATAGCAGGATAAGACATGTCTGCCTTTAGACGGAGCACATTCAGGCAAAATAAGCCTTAGCTTTTCTATTACTGGGAGACATACCTTCCAAGTGCAAAAGGATTGCCTCTTGCTATGCATGGAGCATGTGGCAGGCACTCTAGCACCTTCTATAGCACTATCTCATATTAGGCTTTCAAATTTGACAGGGCAAAGGTCAATGCACATACCAGGGGCTGCTGGAGATCTCCCCATTACGTATCTGGAGGTCAGTCAGTACAAACCCCCCATATGCCCTGGTAACCATCAGCACGGTTGCAACCATTAAAAGAATGTTTTCAGTCATGTGTTACAAGAGTTTTACAACCAAGGGAGAGCATTGAAAACGTTGTCGGGGCAGTTTCCCACAGGAGTGGGATTGCCTGGAAACCCATACGTTTCCTGCCCACCCAAGCTTCAACAGGGGAGAGTTTTCATCTGAGAGGCTCTCAGGAGTGCTTAGTCACTTGGGAAGTTTTGCCAACACTAATGCAAGCTGGGCTGGAAAAGGAAGTGGCAATGGGATTTTCAGCAGCAGCCATTTTCCTGACAAAGTAGGTGGATTTCTGAGGTTGCTTTGCTTTAACATGAGAGCTAAGCATTGCTCTCCTTATCTTAGGAGGTTTTGTCTATACTTACCTGTTATTATGTATGAATGCTTACACTGGCCATCTACATAACAGAAGAGATCTGTTTCACTATAACTGTAAAAGGAGTGGCCTCTTTTGACTGTTTAGCTCCGTGGCCAGTGTTAGATGTAAAGCTCAATGAAGGCAAAGATGATGTTTAAGTACCTGACCTCTATTAAGAGCTGCATCACATAGGCAGTGCTTTCAAATTTATAAACTTAAAGGTACTCCCAGAAGACATCTCACTGCCCAGAGGGTGTCTGCAGGACTGTTGGCCCAAATCATCACTATCGTACAATTAGAAAAGCTCTTGGGAAAAGGAAGATGATTAGAGACTTAATGAGGTGGTGAACTGCCTAATGTCACAGTTTATCTTTCATCTTGTGATATTAAATCCGCAGATGAACTGTCAGAGTAAGGGGGAGAGGGGAAGCAGTGTGCTATGGGACATGCCTGACTGACCAGCACTTTTGGCTAGGTGTGGCAGAGGAAGGAAGGATGAAAAAGCTATATTTTTATATCAACACTGCCTTGTAGGTTTCCTGCTTTGCATGTTTTAGCTGTTTTCCCAAGAGCTACTTACATCAAATTTGCTTGCTGATAGTGTCTGAAATAAGATGTGTTTTTTTCTTAACAGAAAAATCAGATTATCCTCTAAAGTGCCATGGGGAACAGGAGCAAATGCAGACTTCAGCAGTGCAAAATGTAGGTCAAGCCCAGAAATGTGGAGATTAAACTCTATCCACCACATCCATAACAATCAAAAAAGTAGAAGAGGATCAAAGGAAGAGGAGAAGAGGGGTGCAGACTAGCTAGGGGACAGGCATAGTAGGCATGGGGAAGCAGACCAAACTGAGAGCTATGTAATCAGATAAGACAGCACAAACACTGAAGTCTCTCCCAAACATGCTCTGAGGCAGGGCAGTATGAAACCCCTTTTCTTTGCTGGCCAAGGCTATTCCTGTCTCAGAGGAGCAACTTTAGCCTTTCCAAGTCTTGATGTATCAATGATCTAATGTAAAATACGCATGGAGTAAGACAGCAACTGCTTCCTTTGAGCTTTTTCAGGCAGGTGGATGACAGCCAACTTAACTCTGAACTCACTGTAGCACAGAAAATACCAAGCGTTTGCCTGAAGAAAAGCACCCTCCTAAGGACTGTCAAAGCTGCTGAGGTCTACCTTAGGCTTATGAAAAATACTGAATCAAACCTTTTTTAGTGCCAAGCATTACCAAATCCCTACCATGCTGAATGCAGCATCTTGCTTGCGCAGCAGGCAAGGAGTCAGAGCAGTTAACAGCGTTTGGCAGACAATGAGGACGACAGTTTCCCTAAACTCATGCTCTTAACTATGAAAGCAATTGAGCACATGTGGAAATCGAAGATACTGTAAAAATATATAATGGAAATTTACATATATAAGAACACAAAAACATTTTATGTTATATATATTTATACTTCATATAATAAATTATATATGCATATTACACATTTAATATTATATATTCTAGATTACAGATAACATACTATATGTTATGTATTGTATATTATATGGTACATATTATATACTATGTATTTTATATTATATATATATTTTATGTTATATTCTATGTATGTTTATATATTTCTATAATAATATAGATAGGGTTTTTTTTACTTTATAATGAGGACACACCGATAGTTTTAGAAATTCAATATCGAAGTATTTCTTCATGAAAGATATTACAATCAGCTTGTAGAAGAAATTACTTTAGGATGCTACTAAAGAAAAGCATTTCTTAGGACACCACAAGGGATGCAAGATTCACAGAAGTAACAAGCATATGGTCATTGCAATTGAAAAGGTTTTCCCAAAAGCTTATGGAAGAGTAAACACCATGTTGTCACACTCTAAAGCACAAGAAACACATTTTGCCTGGAATTCGGTTACTGAATTAGCCTCACAATTGGCCATCATTCTTTTTTTTTTTTTAAGCACTCTCTTTCCAAGCTTCTCATCCTGGTTACTTTCACAAGTACGTTACTGGGTTACAGGGCTCTCAGGATCACTTACAACAGCAATTTCTAAGCATAATTCATTGAAGTTCATTATGAAGCTGCATGAAAGCACTTGGGACTATAAAATACAACTGTACATTTAAAGAATAGTTTCAGGTGAGAAAAATAAAAAATATGGAACAGACTTTTATGCTCTCAAATTTTGAAACATTTTGTACAAATGTCTGGTTCTACTAGGCATGTGTGTGCTTTTCTGTAAGTACTTATAGCGTAGTTCTACACTGGGATAATGGAGATTGTCCTGGCAGTACTGGTTTTTTACCGTGAACTGATCACACAATCTAAGGGGCAAACTGAGTTAACACATGAAAGACAAGGAGGTCGTAACTGTACTTTTAGTACCATGTCCCAAGGAGGAATCTACAAAACTTATAGAATAAATTTTGCTTTGCTAACATATTCAGGACACATTTTTCTTTCATACTGTGACCTCTGAACATTATAATTTTAAATAAATTTCCCATACTTAATTGTCTTATAACTAGCAAAGATCTATTTATTTATCAGAATTTTAAAAATAAAACTTGGTACTTTGTTTTAAAAACATGAAGTATTCCTAATCATATCCATTAATTGTTATATTCTGTGCTTTATTTCTTGAAAATAAATTTTTGAAGTCATGCAGTTTTATAGTTGAAGACATCAGTACGTCACACACAAATTGTAGAAGCAACAATTTTCAAAATTATATAAACCTCTATTGATTCTGATGTGTAGGTTTCTCAACACAGAACTTCTAGAAGAGGCAGAGAGAGGCAGAGAGAGAAGAAAAAAGAAAGAAAGGAAGAAAGGAAGAAAAAGGAAGAAAAGAAGAAAAAGAAGAAAGAGAGAGAAAGAGAAAGAGAGAAAGAGAAAGAAAGAAAGACAGAAAGAAAGAGAGAAAGAGAGAGAGAATGAAAGGAGAAAGGGAGAAAAGGAGAAAGAAGAGAAAAGAAGAAAAGAAAAGAAGAAAAGAAAAGAAAAGAAAAGAAAAGAAAAGAGAAAGAAAAGAAAAGAAAAGAAAAGAAAAGAAAAGAAAAGAAAAGAAAAGAAAAGAAAAGAAAAGAGAAAAGAGAAAAGAAAGAGAAAAGAGAAGAGAAAGAACTATCATTCTACAATTTAAAATATTTCTGGTGTTTACAAAATGAATCAAATTAAATATAAAATGCAAATGTATTGCAGGAGAGAGGAGCCCATTCAGTGCTATCAGTGTATTGTAGCTGCCAGTGTTTCCAATACTCTGTATTAATATCTCCAACGTCTGATCATCAGTGTGTTTCAGAAACAGCACATTTCAGCCATACTACTGAAATCCAGAATGGGATTTTAAAGGTCATTCCTTACTTTTGCTAGAATTCAATATTACTTCTACTAAAAATCATGAATTTTCCAAGTGAATAGATTTATAATAAACAGAGATGGAGATTAATAGTTATGAAAATGCTTTCAGCATGACTTAACTTCATGCTTTGATTTAAGAACAAATTAAAGTTTACAGAATGCGTCACCAAGCAACCAAAAAAGTAAGTAATATTAAGATGCCCGTTTTTTACCTGTATCTGAAGTTTGTGAAGTAAAACGCACTCTTTCATTGGGCAATACCTCTGCATAAACCACCTCACTTGCCATTTTGAAAAGATGCTTTCAGATCTGCAATCAAAATGGACTCATTGGAGAAGTAGTACCCCATATCACACCCCTTCTGGCCTCACCCCACCCTTCATACCACATTAGGTCAAAAGAAATGTTTAGATGTCTGTAAACCGGAAGGAAATGAGACACTTTTTTTTTTTTTTTAATGTAAATTCTCTCCTTGTAGCTTCCGATAAACATTTCTGAATTCTCAGCCACTTCTGTTGGTGCACTTCTACTAAAAACCACATACCTGCAATTTCTATCAACTTTTTCATAAACTGTGACCTTCACCCCACACATTTTCATTTGGAACCTGAGCTGGCAACACTCTGAGTATGTATATATTCTTCTCAAACCAACCTGACACTAAAATGTATTTCAACAGAAAACTCAGATCATGATTATTAGATCAGCTTCAGTTTGGGATTATCAGATCACTTTCCTCCTAAACTTCATTACTTCAGGGTTGAAACCAGAAATCAATGTTCAGGGGAGGAACAGGGGGAATAACTGACATTGCTGAAATAGTTCATTTCAAGACATTTGAGATAATTTTGTTCTGCAATTTTAATTATTTTTGCATTTATCTCATACTGAATAGAACTAATTTTAAAAGTTGAATTTGAAACTAAACATTACTACTAGGCCAACCTTCTATTTTATTCAGATTCTTTCAGAGAAAAAATTTCCACAGAGAAATATCTAATTTTGGGGGGTTTATGGTAACTTTAAATGCCAAAACTTTGAGTTCATCTCCTAGAAGAATTTCTGCTCTTCAACCAGCTCCAGACTACATGCTTCATATCCCCTTCATATCCCAGTGGCATTATTGAGCTTAGAACTAAACCAGGGATGAGTCTGATCTGCATGTTGGTCATCAAATCTTTTCATTAAAGGCAAACAACATGTTGTTTTTTTTCCCTTATAGTATGGACGTTAGTTCAAGATGAAGTCAATGGAGTTATCATGGTCGTAAGTCAAGAAGTGTAGTATTTTGCCCTCTTGGGACCAGCCATGGAGAAACGATGCACAACATTTTGGCTTTTTCATCTTAAATCATTGAACTCTTTCAAGAATAGGCTTACATGTTGGTAAATAAAAAGCTGTCTATAATGCTTTCACCTTCTAGAGTTTGATGTGAGATAATTTGCTGTTCTCTCTCTTACCTGCTAAGGCCAAGCTCTTTATGCAGCCTTCCTAACCATATACTTTGAACAGACAAAGAGGAAAGATTAAGACAAAGCATATTGACTTTTTTTTTTTTTTTTTTTATTCTACTGCAATGGTTTGTAGTAGATACAAGCTACTCAGCCATACTGGAAGACTTGCTGAAGACTGTCAAGTTCCAATCATAGAAACAGTGATAACCATAGAGGTGATCTCCCACAAAGAAAAAAAAAAAGGCAGGAAATCAGCCATTTCAGAGACAAAAAGAAGAAACTGAACCTCCCTAGACATGACCTATGTATGCTATGGGGCCAGAAAAACAACAGCACTGGGACATAATACAACACTTTTTGTTTGAAGGATCTTTAGGAAACTGTTGCACATGTGCCTCGGTCGATATACATGCATTTAATCCATGTGTATGTCATGGTAACACAGAGTAAGTTCTCAATGTTTTTATTAACAGTGCCAGAGAACAAGCTTTCACCCCAGGCCAGGCCTCCAGCTGCCTGCTGTGACTGTATGCATGCCTACACCATTCAAGGACAACCGCTCTGGAGGTACCTCTCACATTCACGCCGCATATTAATCGGGGTAACTGTATCCTTCAGGCCTCTCCAGCATGTACCATGCTAACAACTCACCCGTGCCATGCACAAATACTGCTGTGCTACCATGTTCCTTATCTAGGTGCAATTCTCAGCACTCACAGCAAATACATTACCTCTGCTCTTAGTCATCCTCTGTAATAGCGCACCATTGTCTAGGATTGTTGCAACATGTGGCTCATGCAGTAGGAGTTTGGTAAGTCTGGATTTGACATTGTGCCATCCTTGAGGAACCTGAAGGGAATGGAAGAATTTGATTGCTAAGGGCATTTTTAGTAGCTCTGGTCCATCATGAGCTAATGATTCATGTTAATGATTCAAGACAGTCTTCCTTTTATAGAAAGGAGGTTTCTGGCAACAGAGACAAGCAGCATCAGCTTGACCTGGGAAAACAAGCATGGAGTGGTCACACTCAAAGTGCCTATCTCGGAGCCATGTGTTCCCCTTCAGCAGCAGTTTAGGACACTGCAGGGACACTGCACCCCCTGGTGCCTCCTTCACCTAGTCTGTCCTGTTGGGAGACATTCCTCTGACCTTTCAGAAGATGCTAGGACCATGGAGGTACCTATTTCTTTCTACTAATTGGAAAGTAAAAGTAAACAGCTTAGATTTAGACACCTACCTATAGGCATCTAAATGAGCAGACTTCAGGATTAAAATATTTCTGTCCAAAGGAACGCAGAAACATGGAACCATAGAATGGCTTGGGTTGCAAGCAGCCTTAAAGATCACCTAGTTCCAAGCCCCTTCCAGTTCCAACATCCTTCCCCTTCTAATTGCAACATCTTCCCCTTTCCTTAGCAGGCAGGAGATGGATGATGCAGATGAAAAAGACATTTGCTTCATGACTTTACAGCCAAGATGTTCTGAGACAGATTCTTTATTGTAACAAAATAACACGAGGAAGGGATTTGTATTGGCACTTAGGCACTAAACTGTGCCCTCAGTGTCAGTGATGGAAACCTAGACTAAAGTTATTTGCTGTAGCATCCAAGGTTTTTGAAGACACCAGGGAAAAGAGAAAAGAGGCTCTGCAGGCACAGAAGCCAGTAATGTTTGATCACTGTTTTCCATCCTGTGTATTACCAGTTGCACAGAACTGACAAAATTATTTTCTCAGTGGGTTTGGTGGAGAGCATGTAAAGACTTTTTCTCATGGGTTTGGTGGAGTGGATAGGCGTAGTTCCGATCACTAGAAGGGTATTTCAAGGGATTTGCCATCTTACATTAATCCTTTGCATTTTAATAACACAAAATAGTCACTAGATGTCTCTGCTGCACCATAAAACAAATCAGACATCCTATTCCGTTTAAACTGGATAATATTTTGTATGTTTATATAGCCTTTGTTAAAAAAAGAGTGTGAGTAGCATAAAATAACTTGTCAGAGATAGCCAGAATGTGAAGGAGAAAGAAGGCCTGGAAGGTAAAAATGACTGGATGAGATGGGTATTGGTTACAAATTCACGAAGCACAGAAGACTTAGCTGTAATCTTTTCCTAACTGAGATCAACACAGTAAAGTATTGGAGAGATACTGGGATATAACTGTGTCCCTCTAATAGAACTGTAAGCTTAAGCAGTATAAACCAATCTTGATGAGGAGGATGGGAGTGTGGGGGAAATAAGGAGTCAGTATTGTAGAGAGATGTGCAATATCCATATCCCTTGATTAGTGATGATGGTAGCAGAGATGGAGGAGGGTGTCAAAGTCCACAGAATATACCTCAATGTCTTTGGCTAAATTGACCATGAAGGTGATGTCAGGTGATAGGACTTCAGTGGGGCACAGCAAGCAGCATGCTCGGAGGGAAGAGGTGTCTTGCTCCAGGCAGCTCTCTCTCAAGGGCAGCAGCTACCCGCCCACCTAGGACTGACCTGTTTGATTTCTTGAGTTTGCTTATCAGCCTGCTCTGCCCCAGGACCTAGAGCTCTGCTGTAACTCATCTTTAAAAGAAATCTGCTGGCTTAGGCTAAAAGAAACATCTTTTTCCCCTCCCTGAAATAGATATGCCTGGGCAAGAAATCCTGTATTTTTGAAAGGGTAGAGGCCCTGCTATATGCTAATTAGCCACCATTTTCCATAAGAATTATATGCTTTCCTAGAAGGGGAATAGGGAAATACTTTTATTATTGCTTCTGACCAATGCATCTCTCAAGGATGCATTCAAACATACTGGAAGGTTTTTAGACTGCCCACAGCCTGATTTTTGTTGTGCACAGATACTTAGAAAAAAGACTAAGACCAAGTGTGATGCTGAACTGCAACACATTCAGGTAAAAGTAATTAATTTCATACTAATCAGAGGCAAGAAAAGTGTTAATGCATGGGCCCTTCTCTGTTTAGTGCCTTACCAGCTCCTGTTGATTTCTAGTAAGAGTAACAACAGCCTAAGCATAGAGAGGATGTTTTCAGTGGCTTCCCAATCTGCTTGGGATACTAGAGACACAACACTGTTTCCTTCTGTAGTAATCAGGAGCAAGCCTCAGGCAAGGTTTCCTGGGAAAAACTGACCTCAAACATTTGAAGATCTTCCTAAGTCCGAGTAGAGCAGCCTGCATGTACCGTACAGATGTATCTGTATGCATTGCACGGTATATATGATAAATGGCACTAATAACAAGGATGTGACACTGGGTTGAAATTAATAATCAATCAGCTGCTTTCTGCCAAAAGTACAGCAGCATTCTATGCACAATTTTTTTTTAAAAAAGCCCTGTTTTAAAGGTTTTATGATGCATTAAAAAATCTCAGAACTGTCGAGCTTCCCACTAGAAGCAGTGATGATATTTCAGAAAATTTCCTAGAAAAAATGAAATTTTGAATAGACAAACTGAAATCTCTACTACTGCCGAGATATCTTTTGCAGGAAACATCATAGCAGTTTGTTTTTAATCTCTTCTTATTCCATGCTGTCTCAGTTTAGACATGGGCTAAAAGGGCAAACTGTTGGATTCTGATCCATCCCTTGCTTACCTAAACTATAATTTGAAAGCTTGGATATCTTATTTTTTGATATATAACTTTGAACTAGTATTATTTGCATACTAAGCAATTAAAAGAGAGAAAAGAGTGAAATTCTGCAATGATAAAGCCCCCTGTTTTTTCAGGGGTAGCTATCCTTCTATTTCAATTAATTAAAGTCTGAATGGCTCCAGTAGCTTAGAAGAAAGCACTTGGATAAGGATGGTAGGTATTCCATAAATGCCAGGAAACACCAAAAGTGAACCTGCTGAGAAAGACAGGTGCTCCTGCCTTTCCCTGTAATTTTCTTCCTTTGCTAATGCTAGTCTAGACAGGTATT